CCGTACAGTTCAGATGCTTCCCGAAGCAAAAATTGAGGTTGAAACCCCCTACTTAAGCGGGAAGGTTACTGCTTTATGCATGACGACCCCCCTTTACGACCTTGTCATCGGAAACATCGACAGGGCGCGAGGACCGATTGATCCGGAATGTTTGGGAGAAGATCCTAAGATAGAGCCCTCGCCAACCCAGCGACCGCGAGATACGGTGGAGGAGCATCCCGTGACGGATCACACTCGAGCCCAAGGTGAAGCCGCGGCGCAAGAGACAGCGAATGAGAAGACAATTGTGTTGAATGAGTTCACGCGCTGGGCAGCTGGACGTACGTCGGCACGACCCCAACCAACCGACAGTGTAAAGGAGACGGAGTTGGCCAGCCGGGCAAAATGTAGAGACATGATCAAGCTGGTAAATAAACAGACAGGACCCGTTGAATGTTATGACCCGTTAACGGTGTCGGAAGTGACAACGATGGCTGAGACGCTGCCTCAGATACCGTCCTTGGAAGGGGCTCGCCGGAACAAAACGAGCAAAAACAAGAAGAAGAGATCGAGAGAGCACCGCAAAAAAGGGCGCAAGCGCCGCTCGAAATACACAGGATAGGTGCTGAGGTAGAATCGGATTGTGTTTGGCAGGGCTGAGTGCCATATGTTGTGTTAATGTTCCTGTTGTCCTGTGTCGCAACTGTATGTTGCGACACAGGACAACGTGTATGTAGTGAGTCAAAATGTTTGTCTCGGTGATGTGATGTATAGTAATGATGTGAGTGTAGTAATTGTTGTAATGAGAGAACTTTGTACGTTTGTATTGTTCGGAATGTGTGATGAAGTGTTGTAGTCATGTACCTGTGGCTATATTTCATGTGTCATGAAATTGAATTACAATGTACAGCTGTATTGAGGATCTATTCCGAGTGTGAAGTGTCATGAGCGACGGTTTGTGTTACAGTCTTTCGGAGTGTGTGGTGACTGTTCGCGCTCGTTTGTGTGGTTTTGAATATTATGAGATAATATTCTGAAAGTGGGGGGCAGTGTCACAGAACGAGCGCTAAAAATGGGCGCGCCGCCAAATTCTTGCGATAACGCGCGGGGGAGACGCCGGGAGGTCAAATGAAAAAAAAAAAAGAAAGAAAACAAACATCCAAGGCTCCCCGGGCGCGCACTCTCCCCTCGGAAGCGTGGCTTCGCCGACGAACCTCCTCACCCCACATCGGCGGCCGAGCAAGCCCGCGAGAATTCTAGAACGAAAGAGGCGTGGTCACGCCGGGTTGAGTCATCCATCGCGGAGGGCATTCGAACCGTCTCACCCCCTACCCAGCCTTCGCTGCGTATCGCGCCGACGAAATGACGAGAACTTTCTGGAATGTCGTGCGGAAGGTATTTAACCGAGCAGCGGAGACGAGAGAGCAGGAGAAGACGGAAGTTAGCGCCTGAGCGCGTAGGGATTCCGCCGTGTAGTCGGCGAAGGTTTTGTCTGTAGCGACAAAGCAGGAGAAGAAGAGGATTTCCACTTGAGGGGTGAAGGCTCGAGCTACAGGCAAGAGCGTGTGTCTACCGCTATCGAGCGAGGACGCGTGGCAACAGCTGCGTGTGTGGAGCCAACGTGTTTCCGGCGAAGAAGTTTGAAGCGTGGAGAGAGGCCAATTGAAGACGCGAGGTTTCCTGGAAGAGAAACTTCGAGGGCGCGGAACGACAACAACGCTGAACTTTGAGTGAGTGATTCTCGGAAAAGTGTCATCCAGACTTTTGTTCCAAGAACTTTGGACTGGATAGGTTTTCTATCTCTTTAGTCTTTAAGTGTCTTGGTTGTTCAATGCATGCGACTGCATTGTAGTGCGTATCGTTGTCTGTGTCCGTTGTTTTGAGTGTGGCTGATTGTACTGTGTAGTACGTTGTTTGATTGGTGACGTATTGTATGTAACTATTGTGGAGTGTGCATTCTTGTGTATTGTTTTCGATCTGCCATTTTTGAGAATATAATATTTGTTTTGTTTATCAACTCTCGGCTCTGACTTGTTCTTTGGGCCACAGCCGGCGTCCCCTGGCGCGCCAAAAAGGACCACTTCTAAATTGTCCACGCTTTCGTGGTGCGGTTCGGAGGGCCCATACTTCGGCCCTTAGAATTAGCCCGGCGATCGCCTCCCTAATTAACGGGACCTGTGTGTGACATCAGGATAAATAGCGTGAAGGGATCTCAGGTTAGGGTACGTGTCGGTCTGCAGTAGTCTGAGCGAAAGGGCCTGTGGCCTGTTAAGATTTGGATGAGGGAGTGGATATTGTCTCCTCGCGAGGTAAAAATATTTTGTTATTTCGTTGTACGTGGCAGGCGCGTCCCTGTTTTCCGCAACCCCGTTGGCCCCGAATCGTTGCCCGGAACCCGCGCGGTCGGTTAGTGCGCGCGCGGCCTCGTGGGCAGACTCGTTGAGGTTGGGGGGAGCGCCTTGGACCTGTCCAACATGTGCAGGAAACCAAATCAGTACGTGGTGCTTGATGCCGTCGCGGCCACCACTTTGGAGCACGCGCAGGGCTTTCTTGGAGATTACACCGCGCTCGAAAGCGCGAATAGCTGACCTAGAGTCACTATAGATGACCTCCCTTTCACCTTCCAGGATGGCGAGGGCGATGGCCACTTGCTCGGCAACCGTCGGATCGTCAGTGTGAACCGATGCGCAGTTGGTGATTTGTTGTTTGGAGTCGACGACGACTGCGGAGAAGGCGCGGCTCCCACGGTACACGGCCGCGTCGACAAGGCTGACGCCGTGCTCCTCACTGTGAATCTGCTTGAGAAGAGTGGCAGCTCTAGCCCGTCGCCTACCACGATTTTGCTCGGGATGAACATTCCTCGGTATCGGTGCCACGGTGATGAGGTCACGAATCTCACGGGGCACCTGTCTCATCTTCTCGTCCACTTCAGCCGGAGAGTGACCGAGCTCTCGGAGTATATGTCTGCCGGTCTGGGAGCTCGAAAGGCGCGCGAGCTGGGCCCGCTCCTGCGCTTCGGCAATCTCCTCCAACGTATTCCCCCTAAATAATTGTTTTCATGGTTTAGCACTATACCATTGCAGCGAAACTACCTTTACAAAGTATTACATAAGAAATAATATACATTTGAATAGGTGCTTTCATTACAGTTAAACCCCTTAATTACAACACCTTTATGACGCCCCCTTTATTACGGTGAAACTACCTTCACAAAGGGTTACACGTAGGCTAATATATGTACATTTGCGACTACGAAATATTTAGTAATTTAAATTCGAACATTTGCACAAGCCTACTTCAATGATTGCCAGGACTGTACAAGTACAGTTTATTTCCATATACTAAACAAAACTGTTGCTATGCCTGCGGTGCCTTAAATTGCTTACCTGCAAATGTCGTCCATCTCTCTCTGGAGCCCCTCATGAAGGATGTCCTCAATCAGGTGCTCCTGTGCCTTTTGCTCATCTTCCCGTGTCCTCCTCTTGGCAAGAAGCTTCTCCTGCAAGCGTTGTTCTTCCGCGTGAAGGAACTCTTCCGTGCAGGCTGCCCTGCAACACACGACAGTGCCTGTCATCCACTTAGGGCACACAACTGGCACCCATTCAAGTAGCAAGCAGGCTGATTCTTATTCCTGCCTGAATAAAAATAATTGATTGATATGTGGGGCTTAATGTTCCAAAACCACCATATAATAGGAGACGCCATAGTGGAGGGCTCCATAAAGTTTTTGGCCACCTGGGGTTCTTTAACGTGCACCCGAACCTGAGCCCACAGGCCTACAGCATTTTCGCCTCCATCAAAAATGCGGCCGCTGCAGCTGGGATTCGATCCTACAACCTGAGGGTCAGCACCTTAGCCACTAGACCACCGCGACGGGGCTGCCTAAATAAGTTTGTAATAAATAAGTAAGTTTGCATTCATGGTCTTTTGTTTATCAGGGATGTGTAAATAGTAAATTCTAGAACTCAATAAAATACAAGTAGAATAGTGATGATGTCAAATTAAAGGAAACTACAAAGTGAAGGTCATTCAAGTGGCTTTCGAGCAGATTGCGCCTGTAATGATCTTTTCATTGATGTTGCACTGTTTTGTTGTGCTACTTACTATAGTATTAATGTCCGAAAACCAACTCCCGCAACATTCAGCTTTCTTAAACATTTTAATTGATTGATTTGTGGGGTTTAACGTCCCAGAACCACCATTTGATTATGAGAGACGCCGTAGTGGAGGGCTCCGGAAAATTTTGACCACCTGGGGTTCTTTAACGTGCACCCGAATCTGAGCACACGGGCTACAACATTTCCGCCTCCATCGGAAATGCAGCCGCCACAGCCGGGATTTGATCCCGCGACCTGCGGGTCAGCAGCCGAGTGCCTTAGCCAATAACCATTTATTTTATAAATGGTTATATATTGCCACGTTCCATTTCACAAGTTTTTGTTATCGTTCCGAAACACCACACGATTCTCGGCGCAAACCACGCCTGCAGGTTTCGAGAAGGTTCCGGACTGTAGTAGATCATTTCGATAGGATCACGCCCACTGTGCGAACGGTACAGATTGTTCTGGAACCTACACCACCGCCAGCGATAACGCTAGAACATTCGACGGCAAGGGTATAAATGCCGACGCGCTTCGCCGCTTGTCAGTTGTTGATCGAAGGCCAACGCTGCGTTCGCTGCTATCAGTCCGAGACTGCTGTCTGTGCAAGACTGCTGCTGTAATTACTTTCCCTTTACCGGGCACAGGTTCGCCCAAATAAACAGTTAAATCCCAACACGAAGTTTCCTGTCTTTGGCCACGTCACGACCCCGTGACATCTGGTGGAGGTGCTGGGTACCGATCCCAGTACCTCTCGCATCTGCGAGAGGTCAGAGAGACCAAATGTCACGGGGTCGTGACGTGGCCGAAGACAGGAGACATCTTGTTGGGATTTAACGGTTTATTTGGGTGAACCTGTGCCTGGTAAACAGAAAGTCCAATTACAGCAGCAGTCTCGCACAGATAGCAGTCTCAGACTGATAGCGGCGAACGGAGCGTCGGCCTTCGATCAACAACTGACAAGCGGCGAAGCGCGTCGGCATTTATACTCCCGCCGTCGAATGTTCTAGCGCTACCGCTGGCGGCGGCGTACGTTCCAGAACAATCTGTACCATTCGCACAGTGGGCGTGATCTTATCGAAATGATCTACTACAGTCCGGAACCCTCTCGAAAACTGCAGGCGCGAATTGCGCTGAGAATCGTGTGGTGTTTTGGGACGATAACAAAAACTTGGGAAATGGAACGTGGCATTGCCCCCCTCTGAAAAAGGCATCGTCTCGATGTTTTAACTAAAGATGAAGGTACAATAATAATGCAAGAAAGTACAATGAATAAATTAGGATACAACAATAATACAAAAAAAGCACTGTTTCAGTTTGTTAACGCGCATGAAACGGCTTGAGGCGTGCGACATGGACGACTTCAGGTCGCGATCGGCGTCGTTGAGAGTTCGTGATGCCGTCGGGGACAACCTCGTAATCAAGTGGGCCAAGACGTCGAACCACCCTGTATGGTCCGAAGTACCGTCGCAGAAGCTTTTCACTTAGTCCACGTCGGCGTATCAGCGTCCACACCCAAACACGTTCACCGGGCTGGTATTCCACGAAGCGTTGTCGAAGGTTGTAACGGTGGCTGTCGGTCGTTTGTTGATTCTTGATACGGAGCCGCGCAAGTTGTCGGGCTTCTTCGGCGCGATGAAGGTACTCACTCACATCGAGGTTTCCTTCGTCGGTGACGTTGGGTAACATGGCATCGAGCGTCGTTGCCGGGCTCCTTCCGTAGACCAATTTGTATGGAGATATCTGCGTCGTCTCCTGCACCGCCGTGTTGTATGCGAAGGTCACATACGGAAGAATGGCGTCCCACGTCTTGTGTTCGACATCGACGTACATTGACAGCATGTCGGCGATCGTCTTGTTAAGCCGCTCGGTGAGGCCGTTGGTCTGTGGGTGGTACGCTGTCGTCCGGCGGTGGTTTGTTTGGCTGTATGCCAAGATCGCTTGAGTTAAGTCGGCAGTGAATGCCGTTCCTCTGTCGGTGATAAGGACCTCCAAGCGCCGTGACGTAGGCATACCCTAGAATTCCCTAGAATTCTGCATACCCTAGAATTCCAGGTATTATTTGAAACGGACGTTCACAATCTTTAACAAGAGAACATTACGATTCCTATTCACTGCCAAAAGATGCCACATTTATGTAACCTGAGACAAGCTTTTATATAGCAGCAATTAGGACCTTTGAGATATTTGGCAACTATATGTTGAAATAAAGCACTGACAAGTGTGGTGCGTTCTCACCAGCTTTCAAATAAAACTGAAACATGAAAATCAAACAATGTTTGACAAATCAAGATTAGGCTGGTGCAATTAGTGAATTATAGGTTCAAGGCAAATGGTGATTTGGTTCAAATGATTTCTAATCAAATTGTCGCGTGTCATTCTAATCAAATCAACACTCAAAACCATCGCGTGTCATTTCCGCCGCTTCTATTATCAATTGGGTTAACAAATCTCTGTCCCAATATGACACACACGTCTTATCGAAATAAGGCACATAACCGCATTCCTTAAAGTGGATCGCCAAGTGACCATCTGAACCCTTCTGCACTTTATTAACCTACTGCACTTTATTAAGAGATTTATTAACCCGTTTGATAGTAGAAGTGGTGGAAATGACACGCGATGATTTTGAGTGTGTTAGTGCGCCTTCTATCTCGCTGATGCGGAAAGAACTATGTTTTTTGGATGGGGTGATAGATAATAACAGATAGTAATGTACAGGACTGGCACGTGTGTTCTTTGTTGTCTACATTTTATTATTCTTTTTTTTCTCTTTTTACCCCCTTTATAAACTCTGACGTTTGCAATAAACGTTTAGTTGAAGTTAAGCGCTTGTGTTGTGTGTTCTGTGTTATAGTGGCTGCGCTTCCTAGCAAGATGGATCCTTACCAACTGGCCCGATACAATTGTTTATTAACCCCATTATATTATTGGGAGATTTCAACTTTCCCAATATGTGTTAGGAATCTGATCCTCCATGCTGTAATCCTTTCTCTTCACAATGTAAGGAATCCATTGATCTCTGCTCCTTATTTTCACTGACACAATTAGTACTCGAACCAACAAGAATCTCGAACAATGCCGCTAACCTCCTCGACCTACCGTAATTACTCGAATCTAACGCGCACCTTTTTTCCGGTTAAGCGAGTTCATAAACCGCATGCGCGTTAGAATCAAGTACGAAAAAAAGATGAATACGGTTATTCTATTGCCATCGGCATTTCCAAAATGGCCGCCCCTACGTGCGTCGGCATGACACGTCGGCCATTTCTGCCTATGTGTTTCCCATGTGCGGCACTTCGTACGTGTGCTGAGGAGTTCGTCATCTTGTAGTGCATTAGCATCGACGGCATGGAAGGCCCGACTTGAAAAACTCGACGAGTGCACCACGATGCCGCTATTAAAAGAAAAGTCATCGCGTGTGCTGAAACGGACGTAAATCGGGCCGCATCGCGGTCGTTCGGAGTTTCGGAAACGTGCGTGCGGGACTGGCGGAAACAAAAGCAGATTGTCGACAGCAAAGATTCACGCAAAGGCTCCAGTAGACCACATCAGGGTCAGTTTCCGCAAATTGAAGAGCTGCTCGCTGAGTATGTGCTTGAGCAGCTAGTGGCACAGCGGCCCGTGACGACAGAACTGCTCCAAGTGCGGGCTATGCAGTTAGCTTTACAAAAAGGGCTAATGCGGAGCCAGTTCAAAGCGAGCAGGTGCTGGCTAACTAACTTCAGGCTTTAGGCTAACTAACTTTTAGTCTTTTCCCTCCGAAAGCGAACGGGCATGGGTCAAAACTTGCCGGAGGAGTATGAAGAAAAGCTTAACAGTTTTCAGAGGTTTGTCCTAAACTTGCGGCACAAGAACGGCTACCTGCTTGGGCAAATAGGGAATGCCGATCAGACGCCTCTTTACTTCGACATGCCTGGCACCACAACCGTCGAGCAGAAGGGGGCGAAGCAAGTTCGCGTGCTGACATCGGGCCACGGTAAAACTAGAGTGACGGCAATGCTCCGTTGTACGTCAGATAGGCACAAGCTTCCCCCGTACCTCATATTTAAATGGAAGACGCTCCCGAAAAGAGTCGTTTTCCCGACTGGTGCGATTTTGCGGGCCAACGAGAAAAATGGGTACGCGTTGCAATCGATGTCTTACTTTTTTTTTTTTTTCGTCATGGAAACCGGGTGCGCGTTACAATTGAGGGCGCGGTAGAATCGAGTAAATACGGTAATCTCATGTTCTCATCCTGACATAGTTACCAATGTTGCATGCATACCAGGCTTAAAGTGATCACCTTGGTCTCTCGTTCATTACTTCCCGCGCTAAAACGAACTGTTGAAAAAAAGTTAATTTATCGCTATAATAAGGCAAACTTTGATGACATTAATGCTGAGCTAGCCAGCTTCCTTGATCCCTTTTTCAACCATTTTGATGATCGCACCGTTGACGAGAACTGGATAATGTTTAAAAAGAAAATACTTGAGCTGACCCACAAATCCCCTCGAGTAAAATATCCTGTAATGTTAAAACCCTGGTTCAGCGCACAGTTAAAAAGGCTTTCTAATAAAAAAATAAAAGCGAATGTATCGAATAATAAAAAAAAAGTGGTTTGGCTTCGAAATGGGATGCCTACAAGGAAATGAACAGAGCCTATATAGCGGCAATAAAGCTTGCCAAAAAGTAATTTCACATGCACACATTGCTGACAATGCTTGCAAACGATCCCAAAAAATTTTGGCGAGTTATAAACCCTTCTAGCGACAATTCCATGGCATTGATCAATTCCACCGGTTTACCAATACCTGACAATGTATGCCCCCAGCTCCTTAATTTTGCTTTCTGCAACAACGTTGTCGTGCTTTCTAAACCCGAATTTCCCCATATTGAGTGTTGCAATTACCCTGTTATGGATGTTATTATCATTGAGCCTCTTGGGATTGAAACTGTAATTAAGGGTCTCAAGTTGTCATCAAGTCCGGTTTCAGATTTAATTAATGCTAAATTTTTGAAAAGTACTGTTGTTTATTCATCTGTTCTACTTTCAAGAATCTTTCAGCAATCCTTAGACACCCATCAGCTACCTGCTGACTGGAAGGTTGGGAAGGTGGCTCTGATTCACAAGTCCGGTAGCAGAAATTCACCCCTCAACTACCGCCCCGTTTCTCTCACCAGCATTTCCTGCAAGGTTCTCGAGCATATTCTGTACTCACACTTAGCAAAGCACCTAGACAGTAACTTTTTTTTTACGAAATCACAACAAGGTTTCTGAAAAAACTTGTCTTGCAAAACACAACTTCTTTCTTTTACTCACAGCCTCTATCTTATTCTTGACAAAGGTTCTTTCGCAGACTGTGTATTTTTTGACTTCGCCAAGGCCTTCGACAAAGTATGTCACCAACTTCTTCTCTTTAAACTTAGTAAACTTAGTCTTGATGTTAACCTGTTTAGATGGCTTGAAAATTTTCTCTTAAATCGGTCACAATACGTTGCATCAAACAGTCATACATCTTCATTTAACCCTGTGGACTCTGGTGTACCACAGGGATTAGTTTTAGGCCCTCTTCTTTTCCTCGTTACATTAATGACTTACCTAACGCTGTTTCCTCTAACATTTATCTTTTCGCAGATGACTGCGTCATCCTCCGCAAAATCTCAGATAACAACGATCCAAGTGCAATAACAGTCATCAACGATAACATCAATGATAACATCATCAACGATAATCATCAACGATAACAGGTCCGTACAAGACTATATTAACACTATCTCTAACTGGTGTGACGTATGGCTGATGCAGCTAAACGTTTCTAAATGTAAAACAATGCGTGTAACTCGTAACAATGTCCCTCTGCCAAGCTAGTATCTTAATAACATTCCCCTAGAAGCCGTAAAATTCTACAAGTATTTTGGCGTCTACATAACCTCGACATTTTCTTGGTCTCTACACATTGATAAGCTAATGAGCAATACTAACCGGATGTTAGAATATATCCGGCAAAACTTCTCTTCTGCTCATCCCCGACGTGGTGGTCTAGTGGCTAAGGTACTCGGCTGCTGACCCGCAGGTCGCGGGTTCAAATCCCGGCTGCGGCGGCTGCATTTCCGATGGAGGCGGAAATGTTGTAGGCCTGTGTGCTCAGATTTGGGTGCACGTTAAAGAACCCCAGGTGGTCGAAATTTCCGGAGCCCTCCACTACGGCGTCTCTCATAATCATATAGTGGTTTTGGGACGTTAAACCCCACATATCAATCATCAATTCTCTTCTGCTCATTCCTCATTAAAATTAACCTTATATAAAACACTCATTAGGAGTAAAATTAATTACGCATCATCCATCTGGGACCTTCACTCTGCCACCCATATTCAATCGCTTGAACTAATCCAAAATAACGCCGCTCGTTTCATTTATAGCAATTACAGCCGAACATCAAGCGTAACTTCCATGAAAAACTCCTTACTACTTCCTCCCCTCTCATCCCGACGTAAGTGCTTTCCTCTTGCTTTATTTCATAACTTATATTTCTACAATTCCTACCTGCGTGAAAACCTTTTCTCATCTCCTTCTTACATTTCTTTTCGCATTGATCATGTCCATAGGGTTGGGATAATGCACTGCCATACCAGAACCTGTCACGAATCATTTATTCCCAGGACGTCTCAAAAATGGAACCACCTTCCCGGCACTATTGTTTCTATCAAGGACCACTCAAAGTTTTACTTGGCTATTATGAACATCATCACTCCAGGACTTAAGTGACCAATTATTTCTTGTATTACCTAGCCACTCTTGCTGCTTTATTTTTGTTTTACTTTTGTATGTATTGTTAACCACTCCCCTCTGTAATACTTCGGTCCTGAGGGTAAAATAAAATGAAATGAAGTGAATGTGGGATACGTTTCACCGAGATTTCACTGTTATTCTGAAAAGTTCGGTATTCTGAAGTATGTGATAGTAAAATAATTTTACATTGAAACTATTAACAGTCGACACAGGATTTTTTAAAAGTTCATTAACCTGAAAAGTTTTTTAATGTGCGGTTCGTTTTACTGAGATTTCACTGTATTCAGCCCTTGCTAGTGTGTGGCATCTGCGGAGTGGGCAAACCATTTTTTTACTCCTGCAGCTAAGCACAGCGCTGAGATCACCCCAGTCCAAGCTGGTGTGGCAAGGCCTAGATCAGCGGCGAACCGTGCCCAGTACTTCGCACATCCTGACCAGTTTGAACAAAATTCCCTGTCTTCTTTTATGAGCATGCAAGCTTCTCTTCTGCACAGCCAATTTTACAAGAACATGGCTGGACCGAATACAAATCCGTACAACAGACAACTAGTCCTAAGGCTGCTTTGTCAATTCTAAACAGAGAACCCACATGATGAACTCAATTGCTTGAATTGAAATTGCTTCGACATGTGGCTCACATGGAGAGCTGCCGTGTCTCTTCTTCCAGCAGGGATGTGGCTGTCAGCTCGGCCACTTCACCAAGCGCACACTCTTCGCCAATGACCTGCAGCTCCTGCTGCACCATGTCCTCAAGCAGCACGTGTAATGCATCTTCCACCACCTGTACACACAAGCAAAATACGCAGCTTCTTAGCTTGACGCACAACCGGCCCGCAGGCTAGAATGCAGCACAGCTATGACTGTCTTTGGCCGTGAAGAAGAAAGGCAATGTGCTTGCAAGATAGACCAATAATAATAAAAAAAAAACAGTCATTGCTTCTCATTTGTCTTAACTGCAAACAGTTGCACACAGATGTACAGGTTAACTTTTCCAATACAGCAGACTCAAAACCTGAAAAGACCAGAAAAATATTGCCACGGGAGTTTCTTATCTTTCACTCTTGTTCGATTTAGTTTTCACCCACACAGCCTGTCAGGATTGCTCCGCCTAAACTGTGCCTCATTGTTCGAGAAGGTATGCGATTATTGTACATTGATCTGTTAAGATTGTTGACAACGCGCGAACACTCGAGATTACTTCAGAACTTGTGCGATGCCCAGTGATAAGGCTGGAATATTCGACCACACATGTTTAAATGCCGATGGTCTTCGCCACTTGCCAGTTGATCCACGGCCAATGCTCAGATTGCTGCTATCAGTGCTAGTGTGTACTGTAATATGATTTTTTTGTTCACAGGTCAGAAGTTTGGCCAAATAAGCAGTTCCAACTTGGACCTACAGTCTACTCCCTTCGTCACCATCCCCACCCCGTGACAATATCTTCTATTTAACAGAAGTTTTGTTTACCAATAGAGGAACGGGAGTGCAGAATACATACACAAAACCAATAATATCAGAGACATTTGTTCCGTTTAGGCAGCTATTCCATTAAACAGATTTCTGCTTTCTGAGAGTCTACAGTGCACCTTTTTCCGCAAGTCAAGGGCAGCAAGTGGATGACACATTCTTCACAGTTGACAGTATTTTTTGGAGCATTCTTTTCTCTTCTTGACATCAGTGTCAATAAGTCGAGAAAGTTGTGACAGTTGTTAGGGGTGAAAATGATTACGTCTACACCAGCAGACATGCCTATTTTCTTCAGATTGTGCCCGACTTTATGTATGTAGGCACTACAACCATCCAGTAGGTGTCTGAATGATAGGCCAAGGGAGCACACGAATTTAGTTGGGAAGACAGTTGTATCAGGCCACTTGTCGATGCACTGCAGAATTGTTGCCTGAGAGCTGCTTTTCGAGCAGTCCTCGGTAATTTCGAGCAAAGGATAAGCCGACATTCGAAGTGATGATAGCCCACCAAATTGATCGTCAGGTAGGAAATTGTGTGAGCACTGCTTCTGTGTACTTTTCAAAAAAAAGGAGATGGATTTTTTGAACATTGACAAGCCTGAGGCAATGAGAAATAAATGATGAGTTTTTTTTTTTTTATGACTTTTGTTGGTGCTTGGCCTAGGAGCACTTTTGTTGGCTTGTACCTTGTGTGTTGTTCTTTTATTACCCATATTTATGTGCACTGAAGCCTTTCATGATGCATCTCAAGGGGACAGCCTGCCAAGCTATCCCCATGAGCTGTGTTACGTGCACTTGACACAATGCCTTCATTTTTCACTGGAACGACTCTCCCGGAGCAGTCAGAGCTGTGAAATTGCTGTAAGGCAAGGCTTGGCTGAGTAAGCTCACTGAGCTTTGACAATAAATATTTTTGCAACCAGATTACCATAAAAGCAGGTCTTTCTTTACTGTTAGTTAATGAGCAACTAGACAATTACAAGGTGTATCTGAAGGTTTTTAGGCTAGTCTGGACATAACTGTGGTTGTTTTAGCCCTTGAGGGCAGTAAAAGACATGCATGCAGTGATTTGTTGCTTTCTTTTCTACTGCTCAATCCCTTTGACAGATTCAAGGCCTCTAGCAGGTCTATTAAATCAGAAGTTCATGTTGAAGGGCCAGTAAACAACCCTAAGTCCAAAAATTGTCACGAAGACATGCTGCCGCTAAAATTTTGCAAATGCGCACTATAATAAGTTACAGAGGTTAGAACATTCGTTTCAACGGGTTTCAAATTTTTGTGCAACTTTCGCTATTTTCCTCTGCCATAGGGAGAGGAAAGGCGTTGCCAGTCGTTGTGAATCCGCTCACTTTGGCAACGTGACACCAAATCTGCGATATGTCATCTGCGCGCAGCCAACAACCGAGGAGGGCATGCCCCACATGAGCATGTGTAATAGCAGAGCGTTGAGAAAGCGCAGTTCAAAGAGCACCCCTCCCGTAGCGATAAAGTAGCAAGACGCCTTTTTATTTCGGAGGACTTCATTCCGGCAATGCTGCTTCTTCTGGTAGTCTCGGGCACCACAAAACGGCAAAGGGCAGCACAAGAAAATGAAAATGCACACCACGCGGCTGAAACTGCATTACCGCAGGCCCAAGGTGCCGTTTCGGAGAGCAAAGGAGACCAATAGACAAGCTCAGTCGTATGCAAGGTAGCCCAGGCAAGCTTTCGTCCCTCTGTGTGTGCGAGAAGGATTAGTGAGGCGAAGGAAACAGGCATAGGATTGTTTTTTGAAGTGGAGAGTCTGTTCAGTGCACAGCACTGTAATGTTTGAAAAATGTGATTGCCGCGGTGTATGTGCAAGCTGGATAGATTGTTTGCGGGGTGTAGAAAAAAATTCTAGACCTGTTTACTGGCTTTTCAGGACTGAAGTGAATCTACTAATACCATATTTACTCACATAATAAATGCATTTTTTTCTCCAAAAATGGGAGCAAAGCTGGGGGTGCGTTTATTACGTGGGGTTAACTTTATGAAAACTTCTTCGAGAGGAACGAAAAATGCAGTAATGAAAAAAGTTAGGCTGCTAGCCTTTCGCAATCGACATATGCGTACACTGTTTGGACACAGCTTCTTTGTTGAACTTTACTCATCTTCCGTGGTTGATGGCAGTATCTTTTGCAAGCTGTCCCCGGGCCACCCGCGCACGCCATAAAAGCGTTTTGCGACTATCTATTTTCTCAATTGTTTAACCACAATATATGCTGTGATTGCGAGGGGGGCCCAAAAGCATGCACTACGACGCACTTTGCCAACTTTGCGGCAGCTTCGCACGATGACCGTGACGACACCGTTGACATCGTAGCAAGTAACCAGCATTGCAGCAAGCTACCCCTGAAGCATTAAAACGAACCGCCAATAACAAGATTACACAACAAAATATGGCTGCCACCTCGCTTCTACATGAGAAGTTCCTCTACGCGTGGACAACAAGCGAAGCGAGAATCATGGGTGCTACCAAGTTGCGGAAATGGTCATGACCTTTGCTGGACGAGAAGCTATTTTTTTATGGTTTTCCAGAAACATGAAACGCAATAGCGACATATGACCCTTCGCAACAGCAAATCCTGTCATCATCGCTCGAAAATCGCGTGCGCATGGTTGGGCTTTTTCGTATTCGCAGGAAGCGATCGTCGGTTGGCGCGGGCAGCTTTGTGACCTTCGCTTGCTGTGTACTTATTAGCTGCGATGTCTACACTAGCACCGTTCGTGAGCCTCGCTGTGGCACACAGAAAATGCAGGGGACGTCCCGCGCACAGATAGAAAGAAAAACAATACAGCATGCAGCAACGAGGAAGGGGGAGGGGGGAGAGCGAGCTGAGGTGGCCAGCAAAATAAGAAAAAGCGAGAGATTCAACCGGTGACGAGGCGCCAGGTGGCGGTTAGCGGGACTGCAGCGGATGAATGTAGGGGGTGCATTTATTACGTGGGGGGGGGGGGGGAATCTAAATTTTGATTACTGAAGGTGGGGGGTGCATTTATAATGCGAGTGCATCCATTACGCGAGTAAATACGGTAAGTTCTCTATCCAGCAAATCCCCCTCAATGCCTTCCTTGATTTATGAACACAGGCCAGGGGTGGAACAGGGTACATTGATTGGGGAGTAGTCCTGGGAGCAGGCAAAAAAGCCTTTTGTAGTAAGCTTGGAGCATAGAGATTTTGGAGCATAGAGATTTTGGAGCAGGCTTAGAGCAGGCATAAAGGCTTTTTCTAACAAGTTTGGAGCAGCCAAAGAAAATGTTCAGAGCAGATAGAGCCCCTTTATACACCACTTGTGGTGCAACATTTGTTCAATGCTGCATTTTTAAAACACTCAGGTGTGCAACAGGGTGGTCCATGGCTTCAGGAGCAGTCCTGCGAGCAGGCAAAAGTGCCTTTGGTAGCAGTCTTGAATCAGCCAAAAGAGCTTTCTGAGGAGGCTTGGAGCAGCCAGAAGGACCTGAGCATCCTTTGCGCATTTAACCTGTACATATATAAGAGGGTCATTTAGGCACAATAAACTGTTGGTAGTGAGTGCTGCGTATGGTGTGTGTTTTTCTGATGGATGAGTGAGTGAATGTATGGGTGTTTGTGGGAGTACAAAGTTGCACTAAATTTCTTACAGTATGACGAATTACCAACTAGCCCAACAACTAGTTTAAGGGCACTGTCAGATCTCGCTTTGGACCCCTACACTTATGCGCTCCATACGACCTGTGCCTCCCCTGCACATGGCACCCCATGGCAGAAGCACCCGGTTGACACAGAGCCAGACGAGCGGCGCAATGCGGAGCGAGGCCTGCCGAATCGAGGCGACTTGCAACCGAGTCAGCATGGTTTCCACCGCTGTTGCTACCAGTGTGGCGCGCCGGGGCACATCGCCCACGAATGCGACCACATGCCGGGTCAGGAGCAAACGCACGGTTCGGGAAACGGCCGCCGCCGCCGGTGAACCGCATCAGACACCGCCCAGCGATCAGTAATTCTATCGATGCGCTTGGATCTCTTGCACCGTCAGCTTGTCGTGCAGGTGATGCCGTAGACTCACCCATGCCGCTAAAGTTAACGATAGCTCGAAAGAAGTTCATAGCACTTATGGATACTTGGGCAAGCGCTTCTTTATTTGGGGACGATGTGTTGCACCATCTCTGCGAGAACAATATTCGCTTGAGTCAAAGCAACACCATTTTCCGCCTTGCTACAGGCACAGCATAATCGAGAGGTGCAGCTAGGCTAGTGATCCGCTGGAAGAGAAGCGTGAGGCGACAACATTTCGTGCATCTTCCTGGGCTGTAA